AAGTGAAGAAGACGTGAGGCACTTTCTGCTGATGGTCAAAGAGTACAGCTTTCTTAGAATCAAGAGGACCAAAATCCTCACCATTGGACAGCATCGCAGTAGATGGAGAGAGGACTGAAGTTATTTGACTGGGATACACAATCAACACCCTTGGTAGCAGCAGTCAAGAAATCAAAAGACTATGCACACCTATGTTTATTGCAGCCTTGTTCACAATAGCAAAGAGTTGGAAACAACCCAACTGCCCATCAGCAAACGAATGGATAGAGAAGCTGTGGTATATTCACACAATGGGATACTATGCAGCATTGGAAAACAAGGAACTCATACAATATTATGCAAAATGGGTGACCCTGGAGCACATTATGCTGAGTGAAATATCTCAGTCACAAAAGGACAAATATTGCATAGCGCCACTGTTGTAAAATGGGACTGACATCGGGATTGAGGGAAGACTGAGGGGATAAATTATGTATATTGCATTGAAACAGATGAGGGAAAGAACTGTTTAAAAGGGATATGTGATTGGGTATTATTGTCATGACAGGAGTTCAGAATGAAGGAAGCATCATGGAGTAGACTTGGGGGGAGGGATTGTGTAACAATGAAAGAAGTTCTCTTTTACTTTTCAAAGAGAAGAGTGAATTGGGGGGGAAGGGGTGGGCAGGGAGAAAAGTGCAACAATGAATGAATGGTAACCCTAAGTCTCTGTAAACTTTCATTAAAATTAATGAAAAAAGAAACCTAAAAAAATTTATAAAAAATAGATTTTACGTGTAAAACTGGATGCTTTCTATGAATATACATATTGTGATAAATACCACAAAAAAAGGACTGGGGGACATTAGCGATCACGGGGACGGTGCAGGACAGGGCAAGTTTCAGGTGGGTTGTTCCCAAGGTCACTGTGAGCTGGAGTCAACATACAGCACAACAACACAGCTAACCCCTCAGTGTTGGTGTTGATTGCCGTCAAGTTGAGCACGACTCATAGTGACACTATGAACAAAGGGCCTGAACGAAGCCTTTCCAAGGTTCCTAGAGTTTCCAGAGGCATGTTGCTCAGGAAGTGGATGCCACTCCTGCTTCCTTAGCAGGTTTCCAGTGCAGTGAATCACATGGCAGGCGTGATTTTCCCTCCACCTTTCTCCTCCAGAGGAATGGCTGAGTCAAGTCTCTGGAGTGGCACAGCCTTTGAGTCGGCCATGAAATTCCCTTCAGACTCCGTGACCAGAGCTCCCTACGAGTCGGTGTCTATCCTAAATGTATTAAGAGTGGAGACACGAATAGATAAACACACTTTCGTGTTTGTTGTAGCATTGTTTACTGTAGCAAAGAGAGAAGCAACCCAAGGGCCTATCAACAGATAAATAGATCATTAAGTGTGGGTATTTGTACATCATGCAATAGTACGCAACTTAGAGGGAGTTCTCGTGGCCTAGCGGGTAAGGAGTTGTGCTGTGCACCCACAGGCAGACAGTTTGGATCCCTATGGCAGAAAGACGGGCAATCTCTTCTCGTGAGATTTGCTGCCCCTGAGAACCTGCTGGAGGGTCAGCTGTGAGTTGGTTCTGACTTGACAGCACATAATAGCAGCAACAAGCAACCTAAAGCATAGTGGAGAATTCATGAAGCATTTCATAACACGGATCAACCTGGAGGACACTGTGCTGCGTGAAATGAGTCAGTCACAAAAGGACAAACATTGTACAAGACCACAATTAGAAAAAGTGAAGGGAAAGCTTGCACACAGAAAGAAACATTCCTTTATAGTCTCGAAGAATGTGAGGGGGGAAAGAGGATGTTGTTGTTGTTATGTGCCGTCGAGTCGCTTGCTACTCATAGCGACCCTATGTACAATAGCCCTAAACTCTGCTCTGTCCTGTGACCATCGCACTGTCTCTGACACTCCCATCCCGATTACCCCAGTCACTGA